TGCGTATGAGACTAAAGTTACAATTGAAATTTTGATTATACAATTATATATACAAACATACTAAAAGAAAAGTTAATATTTTACTAAACTAATAATATCTACTACCACTATTATATAAATGTATTATCTATCATTAACTATTATTTACGTTTACATTTTTTAAATATATAAATAATATATTTATCTTATTTTTTATACATATTTTTACATTATTAATATATTAATAATAAATATTAAATAAGCCAGCTAATGAGCCAAGTTTTAATATATTTGGATTTGTTTACTAAGAAAGAACAAGTTCGAACACGAACACAAAATAATAATAATAATAATTTAACAAGAAATTCTATCATTTTTTAGGAATAATTGGTGCTTCTCTGTTCATGTTAGAGGTTCAAATACTTGACTTGGTAACTTAGAAATTCCATGTGGCTATTTGTTATATTTTAATTTATTTTTTGAGTTTGGATGCGGCGAAATTCAAAAGAGAACGGCGTTGCATAGAGCATGGTCTAAGCCAAGGCAGGCACGCAAGCAGAAGCCTCCTCATTCTCCTATAAATACACATATACCATCATCCCATCTTTTAAATTTTAAACATTCCCAGTTCACTTTCACATTCTCTCCCTCTCTCTCTCTCCAACAAACTCAAAACTAAAACTCAGGACTCCATTTTCTCAGCTATATATCTATCCTCTGTCTCTCTGTGTGGTAAGTTACCGACGACATGGCAGCGATAGAAAGCAGTTTAGGAGAGATGTTAGTGAAGGTGGGACTGTTCATTTTAGTACAAGCACTCGTTTATCTCATCCTTTCAAAATCTTCCAACATCTTCTCAAAGAACAAAGTGAGGCCTTCTCCAAGTTTCAAGACAGCTCGGTCCGTCAGCATCCGTAGATTGCTCGCCTTTCTTGGTGACATGCCCGCCGGTGGTGAGACTTCTCCATCTCGATCTTCTCCTCTTCCTTCCGAAGACATGATCAATTCGCCCACCAACAACAACAACAAGAAGCACAAGTCCCATTAAGAAACACACATTTTGATTACTAAGGAATGCTTTAAGCATTTGCATTTCCCTTTGTATAATAACAATAATAATAGTATATTAGCCATTCATACATTATTTTTTAGGTATTTGAGCAAAAAAAGATTGATACATATTTTGACTGTATACTTTGGGAATTATTTATTTATTTATTTTTATCTCTTTTTTCTGTTTTTGTTTTTCATTGAGTGTTAGATCCAATATGGATTCCATTGATGTACCTAGCCTAGCTATGTAGAACTAATGGATGGTTGGTTTGTTTCTCCATGAGAATTGCCAATATATAAATATATATATTTAATATATATGATGATTCTACTTTGTCGTTGAATAATTATTAAGTAATTTTATAATATTATGTAACATTATGCATGGTATCTTGATAAATAATTTAAAAAACAAAAATAATATTCATACATAATTTTATATAAAATTTTAAATGATAATGATATGAGACATGTCGTTCTACATAAAATGTTTTGTATACAAATTTTATTGATATAACATTACCTCATTGTAAAATTCTAGTAAGTAGATTATTTAAATGTGGGATAATATTGTTTTATTAGTGAAATTTTTTGCTATCTAACTAACCGCATTAATAATAAAACATAATATTTTAAAATCAGTGAATGATTACTCGGAATAAATATTGTATCCTCACAATATTGATTGGTTCAAATAATGACATGTGATACATAACCAACCAAACCAAACCCATCTTTGTTGACATGTCTCAAGTATATCGCGAGAGACCTGCTCAAGCAGGAGATGGCCCCTTACCAAATGATAGATATTATCCTGTTCTATTATATAACCCACTTAACTATAATAATTATATAGTTTTGTCATATTTAACTCTTCTATTAAATAACTGTTAATACTCGTGTTGTTAACTACTTCAATAAATAATTATTAATAGTTTTCAAGTTCAACTAATTTTTTTATTTATCAAATTATTTATAAAATTTAGATGTAAAATTATAATTACATTACAGTTGCACCTACCGCTTATATACTATATGAGCCTTCTCTTGTTGTTTATGTCTCATATTTTAAGTTTTTTTTTTAAAATTTTTTTTTAATACCCCTATACTAATTATATGAGCAATCATCTCCAAATTTTTATCTTTTATTTTTTTTAATCTCTAACCTTTGAATTTTCTAAATTCATTTGAATTTTCAAATTTTAAATTCAATCACATAATTTACTATCTTAGTTTTTGAAACAAAATGATTATATATGACTTCTAAAATATATACATATGCATATCATATTCGCTTGTTGCGTTGGCTACAAAGTTCTGTTTTGGGAAATTTAACTAAAATCTATTCGTTGGACCCTTATTTGATGAAAAGAGTAAATTTATTTTGTTTCATAAACCCTCTAAGAGACACATAATTGAGTAAGGACATAGTAAGTTTTTTTTCCTTGAATAATGTTGCATGTGCATATATATATATATATATATATCAGAGAACTCTTTTGACGAGGAATATTTTTATTTTATGTTACATAAGTTTAAAAATGTTGTGTTGTGTATTTTTGGTTGGTTATCTAATATGTACTCTATTTTTTCTGACAGTAAAATATTACTGTGAATCATAGTAACACTACAAGAATCTGCACCCACAACTAATATAAAAGTTGGTAGCTAAAAGTTACATTTAGGCGACCAAATATTAAGTAGTCGCGAATGATCATTATTTTTGGCAACCAAATATGAGTTGGTCGTAGAAGGTCATATTTTGGCGACCAAAAAATGAGTTGGTCGCAGAAAGTGGTATGGTTTTGGCGACCAACTACAAAATTGGTCGCGGAAGGTCACATTTTGGCGACCAAAAAATAAGTTGGTTGTGGAATTGGCGAACAAAATTTTGGTCGCCAAAAAAATTATTTTTAGCAACAAAAAATATTTTAGTCGCCGTATATTGAGTTTCGGCTACTAAAACTATTTAGTCGCCAAATGGAAAATAAAAAATTATTTTTTATCTTTTGGCGACCAAAATTTTGGTCGCCAAAAAAAATATTTTTAGCGACAAAAAATATTTTAGCTGCCGTATATTGAGTTTCGGCTACTAAAACAATGTAGTCGCCAAATGGAAAATAAAAAATTATTTTTTATCTTTTGGCAACCAAAAGTTTAGTCGCCAAAAACTTATTTTTAGCGACAAAAAATATTTTAGTCGCCGTATATTGAGTTTTGGCTACTAAAACAATGTAGTCGTCGAATGGAAAATAAAAAATTATTTTTATCTTTTGGCGACCAAAATTTTGGTCTTCAAAAAACTTATTTTTAGCGATAAAAATATTTTAGTCGCCGTATATTGAGTTTTGGCTACTAAAACAATGTAATCGCCGAATGGAAAATAAAAAATTATTTTTTATATTTGGCGACCAAAAGTTTTTTATCTTTCTCTCTCTCACTCATCACTCTTCTCTGTCTGTTTCTCTCTCTCTCTCTCTCTCTCTCTCTCTCTCTCTTTGTGTCTCTCGTCCATCTCTCTTCTCTCTATCTCTCTCATCTCTCTCCTCTCTCCCTCTCTCTTCTCTCTCTCGCTTATCTCTCTTCTCTTTATCTCTCTCGCTCTCTCGCTTATCTTTCTTTATCTCTCTCTCGTTTATCTCTTTTCTCTCTCTTTCTGTATCTCTTTTTGTCTATCTCTCGCTCATCTTTTGTTTGTCTCTTTTTTTGTCTCTCTCTCTCTCATTCATCACTCTTTTATCTCTCTTTCTCTCTCTGTCTACTTGTATGTTTGTTTGTCTGTCTGTCTCTCTCCCCCACTGTGTTCACCTTGCTCACTTTCTTCCTTTCCTCTTCTCTATTTATAGATCTCCCTCTTGATTTATCTATCCACTATAAGAAAATGCACTTTTAGCGGCCACTTTGTCTCTCTCGTTCATCAGTTTGTCTCTGTCTCTTTATCTCTCTTTTCTATCTGTCTTTCACTCATCTCTCTCTTTCTCACCACTCATCTCCTTTACCACCTTCACCATTACTGCAAATGTCATTCCACTCCACCTCTACAACTACCATTATTAGCACCATCGCCACCACTCCACTACCACCACCACTACTACTGCTACTACTACTACCATTACCTCACATCCACTACTGCCATTCCATCTCCTCTACCACTACCACAACTTCACCACTAATTTCCTTCACCATCACCACCACCACCACCACCACCATCACCTATTATCTGCCACCTTCATTGCTATTACCGCTCCCTCTCTTCCACTATAGCAAATTAGTTCTTGATTCTTGGTAACAACAAAAAAACAAAAATGGACCGCAGAAAAATGTTTTTAATTGACCACCAAAACTTAACTTTATTTTAATGGAAAATATTTTTCATTAAAATATTACCCCAACTTCTACCAAATAAAAATAATAATAATTTTTTTCATTAAAATAAAAATGAAACAATTAAATTTTCAACCTTAGTAACTAAAAAAAAAATGAAAAAAAAAATCATTAACTACAAAAAAAAAAAAAATTAACAAGAAAAAAAAAATAAAACCACGTCATTCACACCGCCTCTCCTCTTTTTTTTCTTCTTTTCTTTTCATTTCCCCCTCTTTCTATCCAAATTCCCCACTCCTTCCCCCCCTTTTGTTTCTGACCAACTCAAATCTCCAATCCCTAATCCCTTAAACAAAAAAATCCCCAATTTCAAAAATCTCCAAAATACTGTACCATCTCTCTCTCTCTCTCTCTCTCTCTCTCTCTCTCTCTCTCACGTCTGCAAGCAGCAGCAGTACTGGCAGCAACAGCAAGGGGAGACAATGGTGAGCAGCGAGTGACGACAGCTAGCAACGGCAGCGGTGGTGCGGCATCTCAGATACCTTTGCCGATTCAACCCGTCCTTCCGATTGAGCTATTAAGGTTTTTCCCTAAAACGAAAACCCGGCAACGCCAACTGAGGTAAACCTCTCTCTTTCTCCCTTTCTCTCTCTCTCTCTCTCTCTCTCTCTCTCTCACACACACACACACACAAACACACACTCTCCCTCTCTCTCTCTCTCTCTCTCTCTCTCTCTCTCTCACACACACACACACACAAACACACACACACACACACACACACGCACATTTCAATCCAACATATATGTATATGCACATAAGTAATTGAGGCTTAGTTATGAACATTTGTGTTAATGCAGAGCCTAGAAAGCTTGAGAAAATTGCATAATAGTGGATGAAGATTCATTTTTTTTTTCTGTTTGTTGATTGACTTTGTACTCTCTTTTTTTCCCAAAATTTTTATTGCTTTTGGTGATGGAGCACGGGTCGTTCCAGGACATACAGCATCGACATTATCTTTGGCTGATGAGGATCATACACTAGCAAATTCAGTCAAATTCACTCTCAATCAAGAGTCAGTCAGTTCTCTTCTAATTCTTTCATGTTATAAATTGCATATGTTGTTTCCAAAATCATTTGTGCACACCATGCTAGCTCTGATTTTGTGATTGCCCTAGTTTATATGCTCTGTTTCAAAAATAGTTTTTTGTATTTGAACTGTTGTATTTGATCTTCATGTTCTAATCAGATGCTTTTCAAGCTCAGTTTCATTTTGTGCCTCCTATATGGATAGTTTAAAGGGCCTTTCATAGCTCTTATTTCTTTAGTAACAATTTCATTTTTTTTTTGTTCCTACTTACTTTGATAGAATGAAACCATAACCATCTTATTTCTTTCACTATCCTTTAGATCTTCTGCTCACTTTGAGCTTAACAATATCAATGTAGATCCTGATTATTATTGTACATCTCATAATCTGATCAAACTTGATTACTTTTGTATTGCGGATTCAAAGTTATTGTGATAATTTATTAATGTAAACTTAGAATATCTGAATCTGAAGTTATTACAATAATCTAGTCTTTTGTTTGTGATTGACTCTGTGTGATTTATTTAGCAACAAAATTATTCTACTGCTGAACATCTCACAATCTTGTCAAGTTCAATTAATTCTATATCACCAGATTCAAAGTTATTACAGTAATTTGTTGATGTAAACGTAGTATAAATGAAGTTATTATGATAATTGCATTTTTTTTTTGGTTTGTGATTGATTCTATGTGGTTTATTTGGTAACAAAATTATTGTACCCTGTACATCTCAACCTGATCGAGCTTAATTAAGATTCAAAGTTATTACGGTAATCTAGCTTTTTTGTCTGTGATTGATTTTGTGTGATTTATTTGGCAACAAAATTATCCTACGACTGTAAATCTCACAATGTGATCGGGCTTGATTACTTTGGTATTTCATATTCAAAGTTGTTATGATAATA